CCTTAAAGACATTTGACATATATTACATAGCCTTAGTAGTATATTTAACTAAGTGAACTATATGTATTCAGAGTAAGTAGCTAGTGTTCATGATATATATAAAGCATAATCTGCTTGGCATAAGATGTAACGAGATCTTGTAATCTGTTAGAAAGCCACATATCAAACCAATTTGTAATCTTCTTGAATGCAATGATATGAAGCTTTTATTTTATAATGCATAACATTTGGTTAAAAAGTAAGCTGTTATAAGCAAATATAAAAATTAACAAAAAAAAAAAAAAAAAACGAAAAATAGCAGAAAATAAACGAACACTTAGAAAAGCAAAAGAGCCTTCGCCATAGGAAGGCTAAAGCGGCCTTTAGTGGACTTACATGCACTAAGGTCAACTAAAGTATAACTTTTATGAGCCAAACTAAGTTCGATGTGTAAGATGAAATAATCCATCTACTCTTTAAATCTAATTCCAAGTGAATTGAAAATTTATTTTTTGAACCTTTTAAACAAAGTATTAGTGCAACGTGTCAACCAACCCGCCTTCATTACACAATCCCTACTTATGCATGGTGTGAAATGTCCATAGAGTAATATTTTGCAGGAAAGCTTTCCTCCGACGGAAGAAGAAGACAAGAATGTTTTTTCCACTTTCTATCTTCCAAGCAAGGGCGCAATAGGCTCTTACTTAATTTGTTCATATTGAAATGAGGGGTGGGTGCTGAGCTTTATCTTTACGGAAATAAATTTTGCTAAGTCCAGATTTTCTAGGCTGAAATAGTGCTCGCAAAACCAGACTTTGCTTGGAAGGTAGATTGCAATTCCTTTTTAAAATCCCAACCTACCACACCTTCGGAGATAAGGCTTACTGTATATAATAAACAGCTTCGTAAAGAGTACTACATTACACTTCCAATAAAGTATAGACTTTCTATATACACATAAGATAATGAATAAATAAATGAAAAAGTTTAAACGCAACTAACAAATAAAAAAATAAAAACAAAACAAAACAAAAAACAAACAATAAATTGTGTAAAATAAAAGAATATGATGGATATATAACAAGAAAAATTTTAAAAAAGATAATTAAAAAATATGAAAAAACAAATAAAAAATATATAACAAAATGAATATATAAATTACAACATTGCAAAAAATAAACAAACAATAGAAAAAAATGCAAATTTATAGAACAATAAACAAAAGAAAATCTAAAACAATTTTAAAAATCAATAAAAAAATTTTAAAAAATAATTAATTAAAAAAAGAAGAAGAAAATTCCATCTTTTTCATCTAACAATATCCGTACACACATGTATTCGTTACAGATAACAAAGACTGTTATCTCCCAAACGAATCATGACATTTTTTATAATTGAAAATCTTCTGGAATTTCTTCAAAACCATTAATTTTTAAAAAGTAATCATAAAAATGTATTGCATTTGTTTATTGATTTATTCATTTACTGAACATTTATTCAACAATTTTTTGATACATATATGTGTGCGCGTGTGTCTGATACTGTTTTGTATTATGTTTATTTAATTTTATCAATTTTCCCAACTTCAACGCATATTGCAGGCAAGCACACATGCAGCCACGTACTCATTACTGCATTTAAATAAACATGCTTGAAGTAATTCGTTGCTTTGATTTGCCAAAATATGTACACATTTCATAAAATTCAGATCGTTTCGAATGCTTTCGATTCGTGTGCAAAGAACAAACAGAATATATTTAATTTAAATGAAGGAAAATATTCACAAATCAATGCATGTGTATAGAATACATACACGCACATCGTTTATTGTATGTGCATAGGGACACATGTATACGCACGTAAATATATTAAACATTTACCGCTTGTCTCAATTTAATTCATTTAATTTATCAAATGTACACCATCATGCACACACACACACACACATATATATATATATATATATATATAGTATACAGACAGTGTTGGGTAACATAGAAGCAGAAAACTTTACGAAAAGGAATGGAAAAAAAACGCAAAAGTTAAAGTTTTGTTTCTTTTTGTCAAGAACGTCAGGAGAAAACAAAGGAAAAAGTATATTCACAAAATATTTGAAAAATTTCGAAATTTTGATAAGAAGTGCATAAATGCGTCTCCCTGCAAGCACTGGTTCTTTATTAGCCACCCTATAACCGTAGTACTCATATCAGTTTTAATATCTTGAGAGTACTAAATCACGATTCCTTTCTCTTTTCCGATAACACAATATACTGCTAAGCTGTTCACGAAAGCATTTGGTATAACGGTAGCAGTTGGAAAGATCTGTGCAAAGCTTATGCTGCTTTAAAGAAAACAAATGCAAAATTATTTGGTCTATTAGACACGTCTCAGTTGCCTAAGAAGGATCTATACACGATTGGCTTGAAAAGCGGAAATTATTATTTTATACTGATTGCATATTATTTATATTGCTTGGTGTCTCCGAAGGGCAAGGCCTGCGTTTTTCAACTGAATATATATAAAACTCTTTTCTAAGTTTGTGAACACATCGCCGTATTTCCTTACAAAAAGAGAATGTAGATAAAGTGGAAACACTAAGTTAAATATTCAGTTCAAGAGCACAAGTTCCGGTCGAAAACAAATAACTAGACCGGTAGAATTACCGGAAATATAGGCACCTCTAACTACTCTTTAGCTAATGTGGACTATGAGTCTTATTTGTCCGAAATTCCCCAATGTGACGCGGTAGTGTCTTTCAATTACACTCGGATCACGCTTAAGAACCTCAAAATTATCGACATTCTCTGTCCGGTTGACGAAGGCCTCAATTGCCCTTAGAGCCGTTCAGAACTCTTTTTTTTAGTATAATATCCACCTTTAAACGGTTCAGGTTACGAAACTTGACGTGGAAGGCATTGTCTGTCCGCGGAACTTAGTCTAAGATTACACAAATTTCTTGGCAAAAATTTAGATTGCCTAGGGGGAACTTTTCTTTTTTGTGGTAGCTCTAGTCTTGGCTTAGCTTAAAAATTCCGAAGCTATTAACATTGTCTACTCGCGAGCGTACTTTAAATTTATTCAAAATTCTTAGCCAGAATCGAATTTGCAAATGGATCGGGGCTTTCCCCAGGCCTAGCGTATTTTTGTTCTTAAAAAAAGAACGCATTAGTTTAATGTAATTCATGCCTTGCAGATGATAGTAAAGTGGAAGATAAGCAAAAATTTCACTATTACCAATTGATATTAATATATGAAAACAAAAACGAGATAAAAATGTGAAAATTTTTGAAAAATAATTCTGTTAATTTGAAACATTAAGAAGTGTAGGGTAAGCTGAGCGTTAAATGAAGAAAGCTACGGAAGGAGCAAAAAAGATTTAGTATTTGTTTGCTTTCTGGTAAACCCAAGTAAAGCAGTACCTTCTCTATGTAAAGAAGTTCCATAAACTTCTATCCGCTTATTTGCTTTCATTGGTTTTTTTTTTTTTTTTTTTTTTTTTTTTGATTACTCTGCAAGCAATTGAAGAGAATGGGTTGTTTTAGTTTTGCATGGTCTTACGTGAGATAGTGAAGAAATTATTTGCTTCTGTTTTATTTACTTATGTTATCTAATATTTTTCGTCAAGTTGATGCTCTAGTATTGCACAATATTGTGTTTAGTTGTTCGTGGCGAAACGAGATGAGACGAGAAGAGACAGATAGATATACGTACAATGAAAAACCACAGTTAATAAATATATACTGTATTGTATTCATGCTCGTTTAGCTGTGTGTACCTGTGTATGTGCACGTATCTTTTTAAGGGTATGAGGGTATGAGAAGAAGTCAAAGAGAAAGAGAGAAAGACTGAAAGTTAGAGCACGAGATAAACCTAGAAGAGCGGAGAGAAGGGGGCTTTGTATGTTTGTGCTTATAAATACTATACCATACTGCTATACATATATATATATATATATATATATAACTAAACCTAGTAACAATTTTGTGTAGCTCTACGTCTGCGACTGTATTTTTTTTGTCTATTAATGTTTGTTTAGCTATTTATGCAGCTAGTAGTATGTATGTGAGTTAATGCTTAGCTTGAGACTAATTGTAATGCTAAATAATGGATTACATAGAGCAAATGTGTAAAGTCATTACAAATGGCTATGTACGTACGTATGTATGTATGCATGTATACATGAGTGTGTGTGTGTGTGTGTCCGTTTGTTTACTACTTGTAAAAACATGTACGTGTTGTAATCAATTGTTATGTGTGGCCCCAATTTTTATGTGCATTTTTCACTTCTTTACCACAAAACAATTATAATGCACTCGACAATTATACGTTTTATGTTTTGTGTTTTTTTTTCTTGCGCTTTTCGAAATTCTTCGTTTGATATTTTGCTATTTTTCTGTTAAAGAGACACACTCGGTAAAGCTACTGCTGATGTTGCTGCTGCTGCTGCTGCTGCTGCTGCTGCTAGTACTACTGAATATTTTTAATAATTTTGTTATTTTTATTGCGTATTAAATTCTTTCTATATATTTGCTTATTAATGATGATTTTTTTATACACTCGATAATTTAATGTATTTATTATGTGGATAAATATAAACTCGCGTACACAGGCTCACACACACACGCGCGCACATATCTACGTTCATTTATCTACGTATTCTATAGAGAGATTCGAACAAACGTTTCACACAATAAACTGGTTCCGCACGTTCCACAATTAGTTTTCATTGACTCAGTCACTTAGTGCCGTCGTCGCAAACAACCAACATTCATTGGCCCTCATTCATAATGTGCGCTTGTGTATGCGTGCATCCATGCGTGTTTATTTATGTTTATATTTATGATTATTTAGAGTTTTTATATATGCGTTTTATTTAGATCATTAGCATCATCGCCGCAATCATTATCATCAGGTTTGACAACTTTGTTTCTGCTTACGTCTCTACACATACCGGCATATAGTTAGGCCATTTGCTTGTTTATTTGTTTGTACATAAATCTTTTCATTTTTTTATTTTTTTATTTTTTTTTTGCTTTTCTTGCCTATTTTAAAATACATGTACCATAAATGATGTCACAGCAAACGCATTATATATTGTAGTTACACTGGGTTAAAATGTTGAAGCATTTTTCTATAATGAAAAGCTAATGCAAAAAGACAGATCATTTTTTTTATATATAAATCATTCACAATTTTCTAATCAAGCAAATACTCTTGTAAATTGAGGGGCAAAAATATGCAAACAGAAGAAATACCAATGACATGATACCTTGGTTATAACTAAGTAACAAAAAAAAGCAGTTTTATTCTAGTAATTCCTGGTATCAAGATCTGAAGGGGCGGCATGCCATTGCATTATATGTATGTACACTTCTAAATACATGCCTATCTTCGAAAGAGAAGCACGGTAAGCTACTACATGTAAGCAAAACCGAAATAGCGGACGGGAGGAAATTGTGTTCCATTACAAGCTGCAAATATGCCAGATTCCCAATATCTAGGAATCGATGAGTAACGGATCGCTGCAATGTGTAAAAGTTTCCATTGTAGCATGAAAAGTCTAGACATAACGCGACACTGTAATTTACTATACGCAAGCAAAAGAAACCAGAGCTTATGAGACTAATTTTTATCTGTTCATGAACCTATTAAGTTGTGTGAAAAAAAGTCTCTAGGTAAGAAAGAGCGCTGTAAGTCGTCATTTTACCACGTAAAATTTAAGTGCAACTCCATCCCAAAAACTATCTTGCTGTACATAAGCGAAATATGTCTTTCCTAAAGCTTATGTCGTTTCTAATGCTCAAAGTTGACGGAAAAGCGGAACTTTCAAGTACTTATAATTCTTTAGTCTGCCTTGAAAAGTCTCGGTTACACAGCTCTTTGCGTTGGAAAGAAAAGCATTGTAATTTATAATAAATAAATAAAAGAAGAAAAGCCTTTCGGAACTAGTTCGCCCTCTATTTGCTTAACTAGTTATCCTGAAATAAATATCTCTTCGTAAGACAGAAAGCGGAATATTGAAACATGTGCAAGTCTTCACTATACCCAATATGTGCACTTGTGCAACAAACATTTGCGTAGATGTATCCAGAAATACTAAAGTAGACCCCTGTTTTGTTAAGCTTGTCTGTCCGTCTTGAATCCTTGTGTTCAATCCACGGATGGCAGCTTGCTAGATATTTTTATGAAAGCTGGTACAAAGACATGTCTTGGCCCAAGAACGAAAGCTTGTGAAACCGATTCATAGCGGATCATTTCTTCGAACCCTTCGCACATACTATCTTATGTTAAAAGGGGCTACATGAGTAACTATATCAAGCATAAAGGTTCAGGGCATTTAATGGAGGGCCGCGACCAACTACAATGTTTTTATTTGTGTTATCTTGAAATCTTCAGATACCACCGGAAAGGTGGAAAGGATATCATTGTAACTTATTGTAAGTATTCAGGGTTTAATTCTACTTTACCTACTAATTTTAAATAATCTATCGTCTTAAAGCAGATTTCTGATGTCCGAAACTCAGAGAGAGCGGCACCTTAAGGGATATGGAACTTTTTATTTGATCCTGGCAGATCTAGATTACAAATGCGATCCAGAAAGAGAAGCACTGCAAAGACAAAACAGCCGGTAGCACTGTAGGACTTATCGCTTTGCTCATTCCTCTTCAAAAAAAAGGCTTCTCTTAGGTCAAATTCTCAATGTTCAAGATTGGAACGTGAGCGCTAAAAAGTCTAAATGTGTCCATATCCCAGAAAGTAGGTAGGAGAGAAAGCATTTTCGGAGGTCGTTTCTCAAAATCGTTTATTCACTTCTATTAAAAATTCCCTTTTCGAAAAGAAATCCAGACAACAGTTTGAAAAAACCCACTTAAGAAGAGAAAATCAGTGAGTGTAAGTTATGGTGCATAACTAAAAGCAATACGTTTTTTTTTTAATTTAGCCTCTACCACGAGTACCTAACATAGCACAAAAGTCTGTTTTTAACAAACGCTGTCATGTAATTTGCATAAAACGCTTAAAGCCCAAAGTCATTAATTTGCATAAGCAGGGAGAACATGTTAAGGGTAGAGCTCCTTTCATTTCGTCTCAAGTAATTTTAAAGCATTTATATGCATATGTATGCAAAAACAACCCCGCCCCTTATTTTACTGCTATTAAAAATCAATCAAATTTTTAATACCCGTGTGTACTTACCTTCAATAGATGACTTTTAAAATTTAGCACTAGCTGTGGTGTTGGTGGTGGTGGTTGTTGTAGCTAAGGAGTTCTCTATCGCTGACGAGCAAGTTTCGTCTTTGTTGGCGAAAGCTAGTGAAGTGATGGTGGTGGTGGTGGTTGGTAATTCGGTTTTAATTTCCGTTTGTTCCGCTATGGATTCGCTATGTTGGTCGTCAGGAATTTCTTGTTTTATTTCTACCACTCCCAAGATATCGCTAACAACTGTCGTAGACAGTTGGGCACTTTTATGCGTCGCAGTTAACGATTCTTTTTTATCTACCATTACATTGTTGGTTTTAGTTGGTTGATCAATTGCTTTTAAAGATGAAGTTGTGGTAACCTGAACTGGCTCTTCGTTATGGTATGTTCCGCTAGTAGTGGTAATAGTAGTATTAATAGCATTAATAAGTGTAGCCTTAGCTGAAGCCTCAGCCGCAGCAGCACGAATATTTAATGTCGCTGCCACTTCATCTATACTTGCGTGTTTTTTCGTAGATGTTGTTACGGATCGTGAAGGTGACATGGAACTGTTGATCGTCGTTGTTGTATTAGTGCTTTGTGGCGTCACCGTCGAGCTTAAAGGTATTCGAGGAGGAGTTGAAGGCTCAGTTTTCGGCTTTATTGATAGGTTGTTATCATTAGCATTTAGTGTTAGCGATTTTGGTATGGCGACCAAGGGCACCATTATCGGCTGTTGATTGCGAAATGCTAAAGCTGACGGATTAGGTATATTGCGTACTGAGGCATTCTGTTGTCGCACCAGAGCTGTTTGTCCCAGTTTAGTTTTTCCATAAATAGAGGATGTCACCGAGCCGGGGATTGCAATTTTTTCCCGCGTCGTAGCAGACTCTGATAACATATGCAGATTAAGTAAATCATCTTGATTCGGTGTCGAGCTTTTTACTGATTTACTATAAGCCTTGGAAGTTGTGCTGACGCTATTACATGATTCACTGTTGTTAGCGTTGGATCCCATATTTTGTTTGATTTTATTTAAAGCCATTTCCAAGCTGCCGCCAGCAGCAGCACTTATTGTGGCTAATTGCCGTTTCATGACTGACGTACCATTCGTACCTGTTGGTACTTTCTTTGACGCCGATAAGTCCAAAATGTCTGAGGCCGAGTCGCGTGAAGGCAAGCGAAATTCTCTTAAGCTGCACTTGGGTTTTTCAGAGCCATTAACTCCCGAATTGGATGCAGCGATAATAGCGTTGATAGTAACCGTAGAGCTTTCAGTCCTTTTATTACCCGTTATAGGAGGAGTTTTACTTTGGTTTGGTATAGCTAAACTATTACGAAAATTCATTATCGCCGGATTATTGACGCTGGTTATCGGCAACTTTGAGGGATTTAAGGAGATTATCGTGCTTAAAGGCGGAGATTTTACAGCAGTGGGCACTACCTTGAGACCAGTTAAAGACGGTTTTTTGGTTACCCTGGCTAGCGATAACGGAGGACCCATTACTGTATTCGATTTGGTAGGAGAGTTAAGTAAAGCGATTGGTTTAGTAATTTCATTGGCTGATGAAAAACGCACTATTTCTATACTCGGTTTTGTCGCTTGAGTGGCTATTGGATTTGCTTGCGTCGTCAGTGTTGTCACACTGCCACTGGGCACTTTTGCGTTGCTGAGAACCGCTTTGCTGCTGCTTACACTGTAAGATTTTGGCACAGAACAAGTCTGATTGTAGGCCGATGACAATGGCGAATACAATGGTATGTCTGACGATTTTAAATGAAAATTTCCAGAGAGTACCGCTTTACTAATTTTTGCGCCACCGTAACATTTCATTTTGTTAGAATGGTCTAACTTTAATTGTTTACTAGCGGCACAACTCCCTAGCAGTCCGCCTCCTATTTTAGATGAACTGCTTTCATCTAAAGAAGCAGAACGTTTCAAAAGATTTCCTAACTGCTTGTTAGCCTCACTGGCTATGGAAGCGGGCGTGTTTAAATATTTATTTGAATTACTGTTAATCGGTCTCGGTGGATTAGGTATAGCAAAGTAGGGAGTTTTTGTAGCCAACGTTGCCAAGCTACTGCTGACATTAGATTTTAACGGCGCAGTAGTTGATTTGACAAATTGTTGCATGGGTTTAAATTTTTCTTTTTCCGGTAATTTCAAATTGATTTTAGAAGCGACAATGGTGTTGCTATTAGCATTCGCCGTAGAAAAGGTGGTAAAAGTTAAGGGGGTCGTTTTAAATAAACTCGGTGGCAACGGTGGGGAGGCTGGCAATTTTGAACCTTTCATACAGGCTAAGGTTTTGGTAATGGCTACAGTTGACGTCTTACTAGCTTCCTTAGTTATTACTATGGGTGCTGGAATACAAGTTTTCGTATCCTGTAATCTTTTAGATGAGCTGGTGGTGCAACTTGTTATTGTTTCCGTTGCTGCAGTTAAGGCAGACATCGTAGATCGCTGGAGTTCTTGCGTTAATTCTTTTTTGCTTTTATCATCGCTACTTGAAGAAATATCGAGAGGCATTTGTTTAAGATTTGTTGATAATTTTTCTAACTCTGGTCCAAGTAGAATTGCTGCGGGCCTCTTGTGATCTTGCTTGTGACTCTTGTGAGGCGGTGTCAACTTCACTTTCATTTTAAGACTTTCTTCAGCCGAATGCGATGAGATTTCCGCATGAAGTTTCTTGCGTTTACTACCACCCGATTCCCTTGATTCCTTGGAATGCTTTTTCTTACGTTTCTTATGCGATGACGACGACGATGACGTGGAATGATCGGCAACTGAGCCATGATTTATATTACCATTCGAAGACGAAGTGGTCGACGAACAGGAAGACATGGGCGACGCATTCGGGGTATATTTGTCATGACTTTCGCTGGCTTCCGCGTTCGTTTGCACTTCGATTGGCTTTAAACCGATATTCTTAGCATAGGTTTTTAGATCGATTTTCTCTTTCAATGGTTTGCTTTCATCTAGGGAAAGTTTACGTTGTTTGGCACGATGCTCCATTAGATTATCTAAGCGTATATCGGCTGATTTGGGCTTTTCAATTAATTTACTCTTTAAACTGTTCAGTTCAATCTTAAGTTTGGGAACGTTCTTCGGCTTCGATTTCGCAGACTCTTCTTTTCTGCTTTCTTTTGCAATCTCTTTAGCAGAATTATGAGATGATTTTCTGCTGGCATTTTTCAATTGCGATAATGTTTGATTATCCAATTCTTCTTCAAAATCGTATGCGGACTTGGTAACCTGCGACTGTGGTATGCTAACCACAATCTCACATTTCGTTTTACCTACTGTATCTGTTGTGTCTTTTGCACATGCAGCAGACGTAAGCTTGTCTTTGGATTTTGCAATATGATTATTGTGATTGCTATTGTTATTGTTGTTGCTATTGTTATTATTATTATTATTATTATTATTGCTGCTGTTGTTATTGTTGTTACTATTGTTCTTAATATCGCTGCTACTGATGTTATTATTAGTGTTGCTTTTATTGTTGTTATTTATATTTACAGAAGAGGTTATGGAATAATTGCTATAGCGAATATCATTGCTTCGCAAACTTTTGAAATCGTTTGTCAGTGAAGTAAAATTGAAATCATCGTTAGCTGAACGCTTCGAATTGTGTTTCTTTGTCTCGGACGACTTGCGAGCTATGGTAACCTTAACCTTAACAGGAGCTTTCAATTCTTGCGAACTCGTTTCCTTGGTCTTTGAGGTTTTGCTTTTAGGTTTAGTATTAGAGGTATTTGATACAGACGCCGATGTCAACTGCGTAGGAGGGGGTGCAGCAAGCAATTGCGGTTGTTCGTCATGATTGGTTACAGTTTTATTCAAATCATTACGTTTAGCTGCTAGAGGTTGGACTGGGGGAGGCATAGAAGAAGTTTTCTCAACAATGTCGCTAGCTTTTGTGCCCTCCGATGGTGTGATGGATTCCTTTGAAGGCAACAAACCTTCACTGTAGATTAAGATTCTATAAGTAAACTTCATAGGAGCGTGCTAAGGGTCGATAAAAAATAGAGAAAAATTATGGAAGAAAAGAAATGTTAGGCAAGAAAAATTTCCAAGGTTTTTATATAAACATCACATAGGAAAACCGTTTGTCACGTATCGAAAATTCTGTAAAGTGCAACCATGTTCTTCATCAGCATGAATAACGGAATTCTTTTTATTTAGTTTCTTTGAAAGTTCTTTAAAATTGCCTTCAAATGCTCGCTAAATGACGTTCGGCATTATTATAAATCAATTTACGGATCGGGGCAAAAGTTATGTTGGTTCGTTCATGCGCAACGGTACTGACGGGCTACAAGGCTTCATCTGCGGACGACCATTTGATATCAAAACGCGGGTTTATACGTATAACCTTAGCACATTTTTTCTCTCTGGGTTCTTGATTTCAAGGTACTCCTTACTGTAATGTGGTTGTCTAGTTGTACGATTAGACAAATCGGACGAAGATTTTCAGAAGCAGAGCATTTACAGCGAACAAGCATTTACAAATACATGTATCGTGTATGATATGTAATAGGCGTTAGAATGTTCGATACGATATAGGAGAAGCCTGCGCTTCAAATTCCAATCAAATTTGGATATAACTTTTTTTTAAGTCTCCCTCTAGTAAATAGCTTGGAACCACTTCGACTTACCCTCTTCCATTCGTAGCAGTATGCTACATCCATCAGTGTAAAGTCATTGGGTAAAATTTCATACTCATACATGATGTCTAAGCCCACTGATCGATTGCTTGCGTTTATGTCGTATTTGGAGTAAAGAAAACGTTTCAGATGATGAATTTTGAAAGTGGCCGGGCATTGCAGATAACGTGTGGGTGGTAAGGAATTCTCATCAGCAATCTGTTTAGCAAAATATGGGTGATACTCTAAACATAGACTAAAGAGAAGAACAAATTTGCAACAGATGTTATTTCATCATTTTATTAAAGATAGTTTACAGCGAATAAAATTTATGTAGAGAAACGCTTTTGGTTGAGAAGAAGCATAAAATTTCTACCTGATGGGCTCAGTAGGTGCAAAAAAGTTCTCCAATTCGGCCGGACAGTTGACTGCAACAGCCGTTGCTGATGTTGTATTTTCATTATTTAGCTGAGAATTATTAATGAATTTATTAACTCGTTCCCATTCATTGTGATAGAGACCAGGTACTAATTTATAAATAATTGAACGCATGATATCATCAGATCTGCATAGAAAATAAGGATTGACTTAATACACAAGATTTAAAATAAAAATTATTATTTTGAAGGAAAACCTACTTTAAATTCACTAGCGTTACGGGTTTTCTATTATTCAATTCACATTGGGGACAAAAAGATTCGCTCAGCAAATATTTAACTATACAACTGCGACAATCTAAAAGCAAACAAAATAAACATTTCACCCTTTAGCCATAGCGTATGCCAGCCTACTGTGTTTCGCACTTGGAAATCTTAATATTTGTCTGTCTATTTTCTTTTTTCTCTTTTTGTTACTTACATGCATGCATACAATTATCTATAGCTGTTGGATTAATCATGTAACCCTGACACAGGTAACAGGTGAATAGCTCATTAAATGCATTCACTTTGGGCTTTTGCCAATTTGTTGCTGATATGGCTGCTGCCCTCGTCGCTGCCGCTGCCGCTGCCACTTCCCCTGCCCCTGCCACTGTTGAGGCTACTACTGTTGCTGGCGGCGTTGTCGTATTTGGTGCTTTAGCCTTATTTGTTAGGCTACTATTTATGGTTGTGGTTGTTGTTGTTGCTGCAGTAGTTTCCGTTATAAGTTGCATACTGTGTATTTTTACTTGGCCGTGTTGTTGTTATGTTTAATTTAAACGTATATTAAATACACATAAAAGTGTATGAATGTACGAAAGTAGATAAGTATAAGATATAGAAAGCCGAAGCCTCTAAAACATTGCACATAAGTCACGTTTTTTTTTTTTTTTTTAAAGCGTTTGCACGAAGTCTTTTGAAGTTCGTTCATATACATATAGTGATAATCTGTGGATATATATCTGCAAGTAAAATACGAAAGAAATGAGAACATGAACAAGAGAAGATAAAGAGCCGACGGCAATTAGAAAAGATTTCAAAAACACGGTAGCACAGTAGCCAGCGAAACAGTGATGAGGAAGATACAGATATTACAATGTATGTGTATGCATCTGTGCGCTTATACGCAAACATATATATCCACACTCACGCTACTTATATTTTAGATGTATGTAGCAAAGTATGGCTTAATAAACTCCTTAGGGTTTACATTTAGCGAAATTCAAAACTACTTCGAAGTTTCAAAACCACAGAAGAAGAAAAAAGTTAAATATAAGAAATTCATTGAAAAACCTTTACTTTTAACAAAGCACGAGTATCTTCGTCTTTGCAAGACATATCAAAGCCGAAAAGTTTTTCATTAGTTTAGACTTTTACATCTATGCAACGTCGTGGTTAAGCTTATATAGCTCGTGATGCTAACGGTATAGTTCGAAAAATGCATCAACTTTTTTGGATTTCCAAATGAGCCCGTAACTAATGCGGTATCGTATAATTGTTTGATTCCTCCAAGTCAAAATACCTTTTTCAAACCTTACACTACAGTATAGGCTATCTCGTTAAAGGGTTAGGACAAATAGCTTTTTTTTTATACCCATCACCGAAAATGTAGGGCATATTCATCAGTGATCTCTCAGTGATCAGCATCGAACTATGAACCGATTTAAGCATGTCCGTCTGTCCATATGGTTGCCATACACGTTCTCCTGGTCGCAGAGGCTTGGAAATTCTTGTACACAATTTATTGTTGAAAATGGGAGAAATCGATCAAAGGATACAAACACGGTACAATATAATCTAAGATGAACTCAGTTTCCAAAACTAAAAAACTCTAGTTTTTTACTCATGTCTGATAAACCGCAACAGATGCACCGAATACCATAATGTCGGACAATCACGATGTCAAAATTTAGGGATAGAAAGTGTCACTATCAGAACATTTAAATGTTATCGGTTCAGAATACCGTCTTATTGAAATCCGAACATAGGAAAGAAACTATCAAAATATTGCGACTAAGGAAAATGAAAACACTGCCATAACCAAACGTGACAATATTAAGCATTCGCGATATCGGGCGATTAGGATATGTCCACAGCGATATATCGCAAATGGGGGAAAGTCGTAGATGTAGGTGATAATGACGGATTATCGCGGTATAGGAAGATCGTGAGACCTTCAAATTATGTAATGTCGAAATGTCGCCCTATGGAAATATCGTTTTATTGCGACACAATAAAGCCGAAAAGTCAGAACATTCAAAAGGGAGCAACATGGCCATAACAGGGTTAACAAACAGAACTTCGAATCAAACTAACAATCGTATATAAAATAAAAAACTGATAATAAAAAAAAATTTTTTTAATCAATAAACGATTTTTTTTAAAAATCTACTTTAGCTATTACAAAATAAAAAACCAATAACAATTTTTTATCAAAACATCCGGTATAAACTCATGTACTCCGATCAACTCAAATACGCATTCCAGATTTTTCCTCTGCATAAATCGTGAATAATATCTCATGGGAAAAATAAATAAAGCAAACACAACATTTTTCTAAAATTAAAGTGCAAAACATGGTTTCAGACGAAAAGAGATCAAATGAAGTGAAAATTGGCAAACAACAAAGTGATTTTACTTTCCACTAAATGCATTTTGTATTTCACATAGGACTGATTTAATAAATCAGTCTTCAATATAAATTTAGAACCTTTACACTGCTTGTCTTCAACTAAAACTCTGTTATGTAAACTTGCAGGTTATTTCTGGCGCCGCTCTTCTTAAGTCCGATTAAGGTCTATCTTGTCACTTAACACTCAACACTGATTACGGAAAGTAGCGCCGTTCAGTTTATTATATTCAGGAGAAAGCATTTGAGGTTAGGTTTAGGTTAGTTTAGGTTAGGTTTAAGGCTTTCTTCATTGTAAGGGGATCATTTAATCGATCTCGACGACTGTTCTAGAAACACATCGAATTAGGCATTTCAATGAACTTTAGAGAACAGGTGTGATTTTTTGTGCCTACGAACTGAAAAAGACTTCGGGCAAAGTTTAAAAATTTTCATATACTTTTCGTATTAACACTAGATTTACGTTACGGACGCTTTGTTTTATTGAAACGCAAAAATAAAGATATGAAGCTGATATTTGGCATACACCTTGATCTTTTACGAATATGTTCTCGAACAACCTCGAAAAGTAATGACAAGTGCTTCACATTTTTCTGCAACTTTCGACCCAAACTTTTGAGTGTAAAATTGTATACAAATGCTAAACAGCGATAATACTTAATTGCTAACTGTGGACGTATTACTAAGCCAATCGGGTCCGTTTCTGTATTAAGTATAGTGGTGGTTGGTTGGCGAATACTTGGATACCGGTTACGTAAAAATATATTCGCGGGATGGAATGTTATCTTTATATTTATTTTTGCGACCTCCGCGATTCACAAACGTTATCCCTTAAATTGACAGGTTCACTAAAAAGACGTATACATCTAGAAATAGTAACAAAGATTGTTCGGTGCATTAGATCCTTAAAAATCAGTATGTGACGTCTGAAGGTATCTTCTATCTCCTTAAGCACGATTTTTGAGATTGAAATCAGAAGTCCACCGCATTGACGAGTGCCGTAAATCTAGTGTTTATAGAAGAGCTATAATTGATATCACTAGGTTCATATACCTTTCGTTTACTTCTGAAATTGAACACAAAAATGACTTGACTGACAGCTCTTGATCACTTACGCAGAAAATATATACAGAAATATGAATGATTGGCGTATATTTGCTCGATATGCTATTTAAGATTAGATCTCTTGTTGACTGCATCCACTAATTTATGCAATTAAGAGTTTCTCTTACACATTTTTAAATAAAATTCCAATTTTTTTTATTGAGCGCATGCAAAATGCACAAAACGAAAAAAAACTATTCAGTTTATATGACTTTGTTTTTGCAAAATTTTCGTGAGACAAATTAATGGCAAGAGGAACCACTAAACGATTTATGTGTTGAAACTTTTTGCGGAAGAAGAAGATCATAAAGTATCTAAAGTATTATTATTGCTAGAGAAAGAACAGCCTGTACATATATATAATTTCTTCATATGATTTTCAATAAAAGTTGAAATGAAGACAAATTTTTTCTTTCTGTTTTTGCTTTCGTTCTCATAAATAGTTAATGGGAAGCAATTACTATTATAAACGGAATCGAATGCCTTGTGAAAATGTCTTCTGAGAATTACTCAATAATTTTCCCATCTTCTTATATCCAATTATTGTTTAATTTGATATAAATTGAATACATGTGATGTCGAAAATTGTTGCTGTGGGTTTCATCACTAATGCAAATAGTGCTGTTGTCAGAAGGGTAGGGAGAATAAAATTTTGTAACTAATTCATATAACTATGTATTGTGATTAAAAGAACTCAGGAGGGTTGATAACATATCAATGAAAACATAAAAAGGAAGCCCAAGTAACGGGGCTATAGCGGGTCACGGCTCACCAATAGGCACCCTATACCACCGCATGGTTACTTATGTAACGATTTTTAGAAGTAAGCCATTATATGAAACGGAGTCGATGATGTCTTTCTACTCGAACCGTTTGCAGTAGCGTCATCAAAATATCTTAAAAATTGTGGTCTATAGGCTGAAGAAAAGAAGACGCGACGGACAAACCGTTCTCAATAGCGTTCGTTCTTAAGTGTAAATTTTTTCAAAACATCTTAGCTATAGGGACGTGCACCTCGAACTCAAAAAATTACGGAAGAATAGACGGACAAACAAACTAAGATATAATAAATGGTGCCTCGATCTCAAGTCTTTCTAAACGTTCCATACATCCGCATAACCTCAATATACTCTTGTATGACAAGTGGTGTAAGATACAATTATGGCTAATTATTAATACTTTAGATAACTTGATAAGCCAACGTTTTATTCACACAATGTAACTTGCGATAAATGGTCTCCTGAGACTGCTTCTTCACATGCTTCTACAGTTATCTATACACATACACAAATAAACAAACAAACAAACAACCAGCAAACAACAAAGCGCTCTATACAATTGAAGTCAAGTCTTAAGCCTCTGCAATCATTTGGAATATAATCTTGTAGTGAAAATAGCACAAAATTTTCCCCAAATTCATAGTGTAGTCTTCTTCATGTCGCCTAATGTAAGAAGGCCCGGTCAATAGAGCAATCGCGTCCTTGGTCGATCCCAAAATTTCAGAGTTAATCCGGATTGTTTTCTGCTTGATCGCGGTAAATAGATAAATTATGTTGACTTACAAGTCATCGTAAGATTTGTTTATCCCTTGCGTTTTTCGTCACGCCTGCTGATTAACAATATCAAGGATTCTTTATTTCATTAGAAAAGAAAAGTGTTGACAGCCCGACTAATAGCTGGAAAGGATCGTTTGCGCTTTTTATGGCAGCCAGGAAAATGTTGAAATCTGACCAACTTGTCTAAGACCAAAAAACTTTACAGGTTAACTACCGAAAACTGGCCATGCATACCCAGGAAAAAATATTTTATTCATTTTGGGCTACAATTATATAGTCGCCATGAATCACTTCTTGTTGATTCTTCTTTTTTAATACGTCAAATATATACAGGTTTTTATGGAAAGGTCGTATTAAAGGATCGAATTGATTTTGTCTTTTCACCTCTAAAATAAAGTGCTTGATTTACCAAAGTTCAAAGTCGGCTAAAATTTCTGACAAACCGAAACTGGGAAGGGAAAGCGTAATAAGCACTGCAATGGACTGCTTACAGAAACGTACTTGAAATATACATAGCTTAGCTTAGATATTGATATTTGTACGGTTGTTTAAGTTATAATAAGCTGCTTAAAAATATTTGCTCAGTGTATATCAAGTGTACATAAGAAAATTGAAGTCATTAGCACTAATCCGGAAAAAAATGCAACTGGAGCTACGAAAATGATTAAGTTGA